ATATATATAAAAAAAAAAAAAAAAAAAAAAAAAAATAAAAATACAAAAAAAAAAAAAAAAAAAAAAAAAAAAAAAAAAAAAAAAAAAATAAAATAAAATAAAATAAATAAATAAATAAAAAGATAAAAAACAAACAAACAAACAAAAAACAAAACAAAAAAAAACAAAAAATGTGGTGGCTTGTTGTGGTTGTCCCCAGGGGGCCTGGGAATTAGGATCCCAGAGAGAGGATTAGGACCTTTCTGTAGCCTGGGGACTTGCTGGCTTGTTGTGGTTGTCCCCAGGGGGCCTGGGAATTAGGATCCCAGAGAGAGGATTAGGACCTCTCTGTAGCCTGGGGACTTGATGGTTTGTTGTGGTTGTCCCCAGGGGGCCTGGGAATTAGGATCCCAGAGAGAGGATTAGGACCTCTCTGTAGCCTGGGGACTTGATGGTTTGTTGTGGTTGTCTCCGGGGGGACAACATATAAGCGCAGATATAAAAAAAAAAAAAAAAAAAAAAAAAAAAAAAAAAAAAAAAAAAAAAAAAAAAAAAAAAAAAAACAAAAAAAAAAAAAAAAAAATAAAAAAAAAAAAAAAAAAAAAAAAAAAAATAAAAAAAGATAAAAAACAAACAAACAAACAAAAAACAAAACAAGAAAAAAAAATGTGGTGGCTTGTTGTGGTTGTCCTCAGGGGGCCTGGGAATTAGGATCCCAGAGAGAGGATTAGGACCTTTCTGTAGCCTGGGGACTTGCTGGCTTGTTGTGGTTGTCCCCAGGGGGCCTGGGAATTAGGATCCCAGAGAGAGGATTAGGACCTCTCTGTAGCCTGGGGACTTCATGGTTTGTTGTGGTTGTCCCCATGGGGCCTGGGAATTATAACCTCTCTTCTTGTGGTTGTCCCCAGGGGGTCTCGGAATGTACTATTGTCATTGTTTCAATAATTCGGTTGAAACCATAAATTATACGGTTTCTTTTAGTAGCTTACAAACAACAACCCTGAGCATGTGTATTCCGATTTATCGATAAGGAATTGTTCAAAAATTTTGTCGATATATATTGGGTTCTCCCATGTCAGTATCTGGCCCTAACTTGATAGATACACCAGTGGCATCCAGTTTGTGTAATTAGTCAATTAATTATGCTTAATTTACAGACTGATCCTTTGTTTTGTTATTTGTTATTGCATATCTCCTCATCTGCTGTGGAGGAAGTCTTAGGCCACTGACCAACTGGTTACTGTTCTTGGTTAAGTCCTCAGCTGATACCTAGTCAATGGGACATTTGCCCGGTCTAATCTTACAGCAATGTTCAAGTACCATGTGACCATTCTTTCAAGTGACATTTGCCTATGGAAATAGCCCTACAATTCCTGTTGTTCGTCTATGGGGAATACCCCTTTGGGGTATTTGTGGGGATGAAGTGCTCCCATACAGGTCACACTTTGCCCCATAGACTCTTTTTACTCCTTAAACCGGGGAATTAGACATCTAGAGAGGTCTTTCCACCTCTTCAGTACCCAAGGGGGATTATCACCTCCACTCACAACCTTGGGGGATTATCAACCCCTAGAGAGGATTATCACCTAGCTTCTCACTATACTGGGGGATTATCACCCCCAAGAGAGGATTATCACCTCTCACTATCCTGGGGGATTATCACTCCCTAGAGAGGATTATCACCTCTCCCCTTGTAGATTTCGGACTGTTACACCAATATGTAGAGAAAAGTGACCTGCTGTCCGTATTTGGAGTACTTCATCCCTTACCCCTTTTCCCATAATAATTCTGGTCTAGTTACTTGCTTATCTAAGGGGTTATGGGTTAAGAGCATTAAAGCTAATTTATACAACAGGATAAATTGAAGTTAATGTGATAACCATAAACCCGCCCTTACCAGTAGTGGAATCAGCTCACTTCCTTTCAGGGGTCACTTCCTGCATGTGACCCCTGTCACACTAATTGTTTCGCTCAGCCAATTAGATGCCAGCTATCACATGTACAGTTGATGTCTATATTTTCGCGCCTAGCTCAGCAAAATAGCACTTCATATTCTTCTCTTCGTGGAACAAAATCCCATCCCACCCTCCCTTTTTACTGCTTGATTCTCTCTGCTGGTTTTCTTAAGGTTTTATATATGAAGTTTTTTCTCTTGCTTAAAAATTTAAGAAGCTGCTTATACTTTCGGCAGTCATACGAACTACTGATCTTTATTGTTTACACTTTGAATCAATTTGCAATTGTCAAGAAGATATGGCAGAAAAGAGGTAGGGTTTCTACTGAGGGGAATTAATCATTGTACCAGGCATCCTAACATGCTTGTGCACTTAGTTACTTTGGGCCTCATTTTGATTATTAAGTTGATAAAAGTTTAATTGTCAGTTACTTACAACTTCTATTAATATATTTTTGTCTAACCTCTCTCCCTCGAGGTTCATGTTAAGTGTCTGGCTCTGCTTTCGGGAGGGTTCAGGTTTCCCTCAAAATAATTGAGGGTTTTTCCTGACGGGCAGCAGGCACGCAATCCTAGTTTAAATTAGTGATGATATCTGTATTCAGAGTCGTTGGCAATTAATAAACATGGGTTCGGGATGAAGTGCTCCCATACAGGTCACACTTTGCCCCATAGACTCTTTTTACTCCTTAAACCGGGGAATTAGACATCTAGAGAGGTCTTTCCACCTCTTCAGTACCCAAGGGGGATTATCACCTCCACTCACAACCTTGGGGGATTATCAACCCCTAGAGAGGATTATCACCTAGCTTCTCACTATCCTGGGGGATTATCACCCCCAAGAGAGGATTATCACCTCTCACTATCCTGGGGGATTATCACTCCCTAGAGAGGATTATCACCTCTCCCCTTGTAGATTTCGGACTGTTACACCAATATGTAGAGAAAAGTGACCTGCTGTCCATATTTGGAGTACTTCATCCCTTACCCCTTTTCCCATAATAATTCTGGTCTAGTTACTTGCTTATCTAAGGGGTTATGGGTTAAGAGCATTAAGTTGATATTAAAGTCACGTGAGTTTTGAAGTCTTGCTAGCATCAGTTCGTTTTCTCTCATTGGCTTTATCAACAGAATCTGAAAACAGGTCTCGTTTTCGAGCCTGTCTGTTATTTTCATCCTGCATTCCCAGTGCCAGTCTTCTCATATCCTGCAGAACCTGCTCCATCTCTACTGTTTCAATATCTGTTACTGACTTGGAATTCTTTGCTTCCTAAATCGAAAGTCTCCTCCAGCGGCGCTTGCATTATCGTCGTTATCTTAATGAATGACAGCAGACTCATTATTAGTTTAAACGCTATTCAAGCCGAAAGAGATGGGCCTTATCCCTTCCAACATTTGGGAAAAGAAAAGCAAAAGTATAATATCAGTATTGTTATTCCATTTCCTCCTGGATTGGATGTTAGTCCGTTACAAGGGACCTGGTTGCGGGGGGGGGGGACAGGGGGAGGTCCACACCTCCCGTCTCCCCTACCTTGCAGTCCCAGCTTCCATCTCTTTTTTCTTGGCTTCCTTCCTTTAGCCCTTTTTAGATTGCAAAATATTGAGCATTGTTGCATAGTTCCCTTCCCCACTACTTCTCCAAGTTCCCACCCTTTTAGTGCACCCACCTTCGTTCCCCTTTCTCTCCCGCCCTCCGTACCAATCCGGTCCACTTCTGTCCCAGCCTGTCCCTTCCTTGTTCTCCCCCACTGCTTTGTATGAAATAACTAGGATAACTACAGTAAACTATGTCCCTCTTGATGAGATGCTTGTCTAAGATTGGTAGTTCTTACTTTAACGCATGGGTGGGGAAAGAGTTAACATAAAGCAAATTTCTGTCATTTTGAGCCATTTTGTTTTCAAAAGTACCCAAAATATTGATTACCAGCACAATGCCGATTTTTTGCTTTTGTTCTGATGTAAAATTACAGCTTTCAAAGTTCTGGTATCATCATAGTACTCCAGCTTATACACTAAAATATTATGATCTGTGACAACCAACGCTTTTTTTAAAAAATCTATAAAAAGGCCGCGGAATTGTATTTTCGCGTCCGTCAAATCACTGTGTGACATTTTATTCAGTGACAATATCAATACTTAGGAAGTGCTGTGTAGAAAGGCACTATATAAAGCTCTCGAAAAGCTGTATTGTGTTCAAGAGTGTATGTCCTGTTTTTCAATAAAAGGATCAGTTAAGTCGTTTATACACATATGATTAGTTTAAGCAATATTTATATCAAGGCATGTGTTCAAAACAAGGCCCAACTCTGCGCGAGCTCTGCTTGCATTTTCGGTTACGTACTTTCCGATAAGGAGCAGACCGAGTTGATGACGAGGGAGAGAAGGAAGAATTACTGGGAAAGTACCTCGATATACCTACTTAACCCTGACACCGCCCTATAACCTCATTGGCTAAATTTGCAGTACTTGGTACAGCCTGACCTGGCAAGTCACGGGAGTATCATGACTTGACATAAATTACATTATGTCTATCATAATGTCTAGTTTTTTTACGAAATATCAGACATGAGGCAGTATTTCAAGACAATATCACTTGCTCAGTGTTTAATTATGTGATGAAACACTGTTTCGAATGCTTGATATATTGTTTCAAGGAGCTATGTCGCAAAACTTTTCAGACTCTCTAAGCTTTCTCTGGTAAACCGTGGAAGGCATTGCCAAACAGTGTAAGAAACTGACATAAAACATGAAACGATAAACCGACGTCTCCCTTTGCACCACTAAGTTGATGCTACTATTGGGATGATCATCCATCAATACGGTTGGTTACGCAATCTCAGTGATGAATCAGATTTCATTTGTATCTTGGACTAGCCCATTTTAATTCTGTGCACGATATAAAAGCAGCCACGACAATTTAAGGCAAGTAGTTCGGTTTGAGTCAGTCGAGTAGTTGGAGGGTCTGAATTGAGGTCGATCCTAGTTTAAGAACGATGGCAGCAACCAATAGTGCTTTCAGAACAGAAACCAGAGATGAACTATTTATAATCACTTGGAGTTGTTTAATATGCCGTCTTCATCAATCGAAGCTCCAGCAGCAAACGATTACCAAGATTGCAGAGAGCAACAACAGACAGGAAACATCGGGAAAGGTCGGCGTATGTTCAGTGATTACAGAACAGAACCCAACAATGAACACCTTTACTGTAACATACAATCAATCAATCAACCGTCTTCACCTGCCACCGAAACCCAAGCAGCAAACCAAACCTCCCAAGATGACAGAGGAGGGAAACAACCAACAGGAAATAGTAAGACGATGGGTCGGCGTGTGTCATCTGCTATGATAGCTGTTTTGGCCTTAGCCTTCCTGGCCATGGTTGCTTCGTTGATAGCATTGAAGTGGGAACTCGTAAAGTCAAGTGGAACAAACGGTAATGTGTTAGATAGATATGGAATAAGTAACCGTAGAAGGCCTAAAGCCGTTCGAAATCGGAGTCTCTGTTTGGCTAATTTTTGATATTATATACAAAATGGTGTCCCAAATACTGTATTAATAGTTTTAGGTGCGAATTCTCTTCACCTTGAAATATTTTGAGGAGTCCTCCAGGGGCCGCCATTGGTGAATGAAAGAGTTCACTTAAAATTGAAGAATTAATAGTCTCAGCCTTTACTCAGTAAAAGGATCGTTTCGGTGAGTAAAAGCTAGTGAAATATGGAATTATGTTTTTCCGTCTATAATTAGTCCAATTATCTGGGGCTGACTTAAACACATGGTCTGAAACGAGACTTAGCGTGGGTTGAAAAAGGCATTTGATATGGCTCTTTTTGGTTTAAATTGTGCTCAAATGGCTCCAGGAGAGGCTGAATCGGCAGACTTGGGCCTGCGTGGGTGAATTGGTACTTTGGGGCTGAAACAGATCTTTTTTTTTTGTTGTTGATTAACAGTGTTTTCAAGACATTAATTAAGGTAAAATAATATATATTTTAAAACCGTTGTTCTAGATTGATCCGATCATCTTGCAGTTTATTTTATTGCACACAGAGAAGAGTTTTGGCCATCGTCCCTTTTCAAAACAAAATTCCGCACGTTTAATCAATCAATTCATTCATTCATTTACTCATCAGTTAATTAACATACTGATATCTAGTTCTTTCTGGAATAGATAGATAGATAGATAGATAGATATATAGATAGATAGATAGATAGATAGATAGATAGATAGATAGATAGATAGATAGATAGATAGATAGATAGATAGATAGATAGATAGATAGATAGATAGATATTCTGTTTATTTCACCCACTTCAGCTGCCACTTGCAGCAATAACTGAATTGTTGGGGAAGGTCATTGTCACATGCAATGATATATTGATATCATTTCCCGGCGGGAGGTTCTACTGGGAATTCTTGGTTGGGGTGTGCGGTCTGTTTCCTCAAATCCCGACCCTACTTCAGACCAAAAAATGTAATTTTCCACACCAGTTTTCAGACCAGACCTCTAAAATCCATACCCGTTTTCAGACCTGGGCTTTAGGCAGAAATTATGTTATCATTACTTACATTAGAGCGGAAACAAAAAAATTCTTCAAATTCATTTGGAATTCGCATATTTTTCTCTTTCTTTCTTACTCATTTGAAATGGAAACGATTAATTTTTCATACATTCCCGTAGTTCAGACCAAAAAAGCGCAAAAACCCTACCCGATGGGGCGGCACATACCTATTTGGCTTATATAAGGGAGTGGCCCCCCCGCAATAGAAGAAATTCACGTTATAGTCATTACTTTGGTTTACTTGGAGTACAAAAAAATTCATCCAGCAAATCAAATAAATCATGCAGGTGATACTCTTCAGGCTGACTCAGACGAAATTATATACCATGTTTAGGACAGAGAGGTCAAAAACCATGCCCTGACCAGCGGCACATCCCTGTACAGGCCATATAAAGGAGTACCCCCTGGGTATCATTTATGAGTTGGGTGATATTTGAACCCGCCTATCATTATCTCTGTGACTACTCGCTGAAACAACGCAGATCGGACCTTCCCTTTATTGTAGTTATGAGCACTTATCAAGTCGCGTCTTATTAACTTTGGAGTTGTTTCAAGAACTCACGTTACCTTTCTACGGTTTTTGAATAGTCCGAAGGGGGTTAGTGCCAGTACTGTTTCAGAATCAAAGAATATTCATCCATATACTTTCACGATGTTGCCACCCTATATTGGGCATAGGCCTATAAAGTGACGTCAATAAGGCAGTCCACTGCCAGAAAAAGGCCAGGTAACCGAAAAGCCTGGGGCGAAGTTGTGTTAGTTCAGCTGTTTTGGTAGAAAATCCTTCAACAACAACGACCGAGACCAGGTTTTAGGAGCCCGCGAGACTGAGCACCCCACCCAAACCTTTGCTTTAACTAAAACCGCTGGACGTGACATCCTGGTCACCCGATTCAGGTCGTTGTTATCTAAGGTCTTTCGTTCTGGTAGCGCTGTTGAAAATGGCGGAAATTTTCACACGTTTTGCGAAATTAAAAAGAAACTGCCGAACTTCTGCCTGACATTTTAAAAAACAGCAAAATACAAATCTACTGATGACAACTGCTTTCTGAAGAATATCTGCTGATTAAGCTACGGCAATCCCGTTTAACATCGGTAGCCACTGTTTTCAAAGGATCTGGAAATCAAGGACAAAAGTGGTGCCAGTGGTTGTAGGTGCATTGGGTTCAGTGTCAAAGAAGCTGGCAGGCCACTTGGAGCAACTAGGAATTAAAAACCGAACAAGAACGATGCAAAAGTCGGCACTCCTCGGATCGGCACATATCCTCAGAAAGGTGCTGGAAGTCTGAGGTCTCGGGATGAGACTTGACTGGATATTTCTCCCCAGGGAAAATCCCTGTGCTAAATTTTACATAATAATAATAATAATAATAATAATAATAGGCTTTGTTTACCCTCGGCAGTACTTATAGCACTAATGCTAGTGGGGCAGAGAAAATGCCTGAAACAGATCATTCTAATGAAACTTAACAAATTTAAGGGCCTGTTTACATGGAGGTGGGGGACTCTAGGTAGGCGAGGTAACCTGCTTAGGTGGAGTAACCCGCCTGTCCATATAAACTCTCATTTAAATTCGATCACGTTTACATGACAGTTGAGGTAACCCGCTTAGGTAGGGTAACCCGCCTGTCCATATAATCTCTCATTTTAATTTGATCACGTTTACATGATAGGTGGAGTGTTCCGCCACATGTTATCTCACCTATCTGGGGTCCCCCACCTCCATGTAACAGGCGCTAAGAATCCCAGCTGGTCGGAGTCAAACCAGTTGGCTATTTACAAGCACGGTGGAGGACCTGAACTTCAGCCTACCGAGAAAAACCAGCGTGGTGACTTTGGCGGTACAACTGTGCCGTGTTCAATTTTTTTTTTAAAGTTCCCTCGAGTCTTGATGTATGCGTTTCATATATTAAGAAAAGTACGCAAACTGAAATGTGTCAGTTTCTTTCGTAGTTCGATATACGTGTGAAAAGCGCGAGTCGCATACTCCGGAAAGAAACGTCGTCTCTCTCGGCAGTTTGTGACGCGAGGAGGCGGCTGAAATTCACTGGCTAAGTTTACATTATACCAGATAGCTTTTCGTGCTGACATGGCACGGAGATGAAAAGCTATCCGGTATGGTATGAACACCTATCCCATCTGTGACTCTCCACTTTAGAGATGGGAACGGTGCAGCTTCGCTCGGTCCCAAAAATCGCGCCGCCACAACAATTTAAGTGTGTGAACAGAAGCCAGCTATCCGGTATGATTTACGTCGCGGTGCAAACTACTATCCGGTATAGTATGAACACCTATCCGATGTGTGACTCTTCACTTTAGAGCTCGGCGCGGGGCAGCTTCGCTCCGTTTCAGAAATCGCGCAGAAACCACCGTTCGTATGTGTGAACAGAAGGCCTATCCGGAATGGTTTTCGTGCTGGCGGAAAAGCTGTCCATTAACAGCGGTAAAGTGGGAACGTAGCCTCAGTCTATTTATTATGTACCAATCATCTCATTTCCAAAGCGCGTTCGAGGAATTATTATTCATTATATGTCTCTTGTCGAACTGGAATTTGAAAAGTTCAGTTCAGTTAAATGATTAAAATCAAATTAAGGCTTTATAATTTGTCATCTATCAATTACGCAGGTTGTCAAGATTGTCGTGTCCCAAATGGAATAGAAGAACAGCTGAATAAAGTGGATAAAAACATAGGCAAACTATTACATGATCAAACTGAAGCGCGTACAGGTAATACCCTTCAGACAGTCTTACACAAAATTATATACCATGTTTAGGACAGAGAGGTCAAAAACCATACCCTGACCAGCGTCACCTCCCTGTACAGGCCATATAAAGGAGTACCCCCTGGGTATCATTCATGAGTTGGGTGATATTTGACCCCGCCTATCATTATCTCTGTGGCTATCACACGCTGAAACAATGCTGACCTTACCTACCTTCCATTGTAGTTATGAGCACTAATCAAGTCCCGTCTTACTGATTTTGGAGTTGTTTCAAGAACCACGTTGCCTTTCTACGGTTTTTGAATAGTCCGTATGGGGCTTTGTGCTAGTACTGCGTTTCAGTATCAAAGAATAATCATCCCAATACTTTCACAATATTGCCAACCTATTTTGGGTATAGGCATATAAAATGACGTCAATAACGCAGTCCACGAGCGGAAAAAAGGCAAGGTGACCGAAAAGCCTTATGGGTCGAGGTTGTGTTAACTCAGCTGTTTTGGTAGTGCTGTTGAAAATGACGGAAAGTTTCACAGGTTTTGCGAAATTAAAAAGAAAAGCCGAACTACTGCTTGACATATTAAAAAACAGCAAAATACAAATCTACTGATGACAACTGCTTTCTGAAGAATATCTGCTGATTAAGGCACGGCAATCCCGTTTAATATTGGTAGCCTCTGTATCCAGTTAGCGCACACTCCTGAAAGAGATGTCGTCTCTCTCGGCAGTTTGTGAATCGAGGAGGGGGCTGAGTTCACACTCTACCGGATAGCTTTTTGTGCCGACATGACACTGACGTGAAAAGCTATCTAAATAGTGTGAACACCTATCCGATATGTAACTCTCCACTTTTGAGATCGGCGCGACGCAGCTTCGCTCCGTTACAGAAATCGCGCCGCCACAACCGTTCTTGTGTGTGAAGGGAAGTCCTATCCGGAATGGTTGTCGCGTCGGCTCATAAGCTATCCGGTATCAGCGGTAAAGTGTGAACATAGTCTCAAGTTATTCATTATGTACCAATCATCTCATTTCCAAGCTGAGGCGCGTTCGAGGAATAATTTTTCCTTATATTATATCTCTTACAGCCTGAAATTTGAAAAGTCCAGTTCAGTTAAATAATTAAAATCAAATTAAGGCTTTATAATTTGTTATTTATCAATTACGCAGGTTGTCGAGATGGTCTTCTTCTTGATAGAATGAAACAAGAGTTGAACGAGGTGGAGAAAAATGTTACTGAGATGGTCGCGAAGATCATAGACCAAGTATTAACAAATCAAACTGAAGAGCGAAGATTGCTTGAAAAGAAGATAGAAAATCAGACCTCGGAGTTAAAAGGAGAAATAAGGGCTTCACAAGAAAACCAAACTACTGCAATAAAAGATAAGATCCTGACGCCGCTAAAACTACAAATAAAGAATTTAGAAGATCAATTTATACATTTAGTTGAAGGTAGTGTTAAAGATTAAAGTTCATTTTAAGGAGAAAAGAGTTAAAATTTTAGCCAAACGGATTACCTCTTTTCGGAAACACCACATTTGTGTCAATCTCGTGCAATAGCCATTATCAACAAAGACTGAAAGTTCAGTGCTAGATCACGACGTTCTGTGAAAGCTTGTGAGTGAAGGAGAGAGCGAGTGCCACTCTCTGTTCTCTCGTTATGTGATCGATTTACTTAAGGTGACTCGACCCAGTTTTTTTGGGGGGGGTACCATCCTACTTTGGAGCTCTCTGGTGTCCCCACCTTTACTTTTATCGTAAGTCTAACACATAGAATGGATAACATATAGATCAATCTACAATATAACATAAAATTTTTGGCGATCGGAGTAAATGTCACGTGGTTATAATGCCACGCCCCTTTGAGGTCTGAGTCGAAAATCTGCTGTTGCCGGCATTTTTTCGAGAAAATCTCTCGGCTACACATAGTGCGCATTAGTGCCTTGCGCTGAACAGAGTTTCACCAAAATTGCAAAGACCCAATTCGAGAAATTCAGCGGTTTCCAAATTTAGGTCATAATTTATGCGAAAATGATAAGCAAACTTTACAGGGATTATATCTAATAAACTATGAGATTCATCTCTGTATTTTGGGCATCGTTATAACAGATGGGTCCTTGCAAGTCAGTAAAACGCTTTAGGGCCTTGTAAATGCGCGCGATTTCGAGCAAAGCAAACATATAGAAATTATAGTTTTCGCTATTTGTTGACGTTTGTCAGCGTTTAAGAGTCAATCTCACGAAAAAAGCATTTTCTTAAAAATTCTAGTTTTTTTTCCTTCCAATTTTTTCAGGGCCACAATTGATTAACTAACTACCCGGACTCTGAATTTCATGGTCATTGAAAAACTGTGACATTACCTTCTATAAGCCCAAACTTGAGTAAACATTGAAGATTTTTAGCGTTTTGGCTGAGTTTGTGCTTTGGAAGTTGTCTATTGTGTCTAGTCTGTCATTATACAGCATTCTTGTTCAGCGCGCGTGCAATGACCACACTTGGCTGACTTCCGAATGCTCACCGAGATATGATAATTTAGTATAAGAAAATAGAAGGGATTCCAGTCACGAGTTGGTTTAATTATTGGCTTGCATTAAACCTATGAAAAAATGATATTTTTTTAATAGTAAGTAGATTTAGTGTGTAGCACTTCTTGATTTTTTTGCAAAGGCACAAGGAGCACGAGAATTGATTAAAAATTGTTAAACCTCTATGTATCACGCGATGGCCTGTCTCATTGTACCAAAATTATCATATCTCGGTGAGCATTCGGAAGTCAGCCAAGCGTGGTCATTGCACGCGTGCTGAACAAGAATGCTGTATCATGACAGACTAGAAACAATAGACAACTCCCAAAGCACAGACTCAGCCAAAACGCTAAAAATCTTCAATGTTTACTCAAGTTTGGGCTTATAGAAGATAATTCTACAGTTTTTCAATGACCATGAAATTCAGAGTCCGGGTAGTTAGTTAATCAATTGTGGCCCTAAAAAAATTGAAAGGAAAAAAAACTACGAATTTTTAAGAAAATGCTTCTTTCGTGAGATTGACTCTTAAACGCTGACAAACGTCAACAAATAGCGAAAACTATAATTTCTGTATGTTTGCTTTGCTCGAAATCGCGCGCATTTACAAGGCCCTAAATTGTTTTGCTGACTTGCAAGGACCCATCTGTTATAACGATGCCCAAAATAAAGAGATGAATCTCATAGTTTATTAGATATGATCCGTGTAAAGTTTGCTTATCATTTTCGCATAAATTATGACCTAAATTTGAAAACCACTGAATTTCTCGAATTGGGTCTTTGCGATTTTGGTGAAACTCTGTTCAGCGCAAGGCACTACTGCGCACTATGTGTAGCCGAGAGATTTTCTCGAAAAAATGCCGGCAACAGCAGATTTTCGACTCAGACCTCAAAGGGGCGTGGCATTATAACCACGTGACATTTACTCCGATCGCCAAAAATTTTATGTCATATTGTAGATTGATCTATGTGTTATTCTATGTGTTAGACTTACGATAAAAGTAAAGGTGGGGATACCAGAGAGCTTCAAAGTAGGATGGTACCCCCCCCAAAGAAACTGGGTCGAGTCACCTTAAAAAACCAAGGTTTCACGGAAAAGCAAAGTATGGCGAGAATTCTACCAAGGTTTAACTTTCGGTAAACTCGTACTGATAAACGCCTTAAATTTGCTATTGTGACACTCTCTTTTTCTCACACGCCAAGCAACCGTTGCGTGTAAAAGAACCTGCACCGTTGAGCACCCAGCTAGCCCTTCCGTATTTACAGTATTGGACCAAGGACAAACGTACACCAATGCATGTTGGGAAGTATAGGGGTGTGCTTGACCAAAAATCAGCTAGCTTAAGCAACGACGAAGGCGACGCCAACGAGAACGGCAGAAAAGCAGTAGGTATAAATTGGCAAAACAACAATTTTGCACGTGCATCACGCTATTTTGGTCAACGGTCAAGACACTAGAGTGATTTTACTTACCCGTGAAACAGATACTTACAACTAGTGAATAATAGCAACAGATTACTAGCAAAAGAAAAAAATGGAATTAGTGCATAATAGCGCGCTGTATTCTACTACCTATTTTTTACTACTCCCGCAATCTTTGCACGTGCTTTATAATGGAATAAAAGCAATGTTACGTGGTATTTTAGTGATACGATTTGGTAATACGATTAGTTTGCTTATTCCCTCCAAACGAAACAACGATTTTATTTTTGCAAAATGTACAGTTCGAGTTTCGACAAGTTTTATGTCATTATTACTTGCTGTGAGCACACCTACGGTCGCTACTGCGATACAAAAAAGTAATAATGATCACTTCCACCCACAATTCCCCATTTTTTGTCGTCCAGAATAAAGAAACTCGGCCGCGATTTGTTGTATTGGTGGAGTAGTTTTCCTCCTGGAAAACCACGTGACATCGCTTTTATCCCATCAGTCCTTAAAAGCGTGCAAAGATGGTGAGTATCGCGAATAAGGTCTATTCGAGTTACTGACTTGAAGACATTTTTTTGTTTCAGACCGCTGGATCAAAGTGAATAATTCAAGTCCAATATGCTTTGGTGTGAAAGACAACAACGTTGATTTTCTTGTTCCATATGGTGGCAAACTGGCATCAGTAAAACTGGTCCACCTGAATGGTGCTGTGACATGCGATAACACCCATTGGTCCTTTTGGGGTTGCGGAGGAAAACTTGGAGATGTAAACGTTGAAATAAAAAACGTGTCTGGTACCACTATTTTAAGCTTAAGAGAGTTCTCCACTGGTGGGGAGCTAGGGGTGTCTTCGCAGAATACTGGTTATAACTCGTCTTCTCCAGAGCTGGTGCTGTCGGCATGCTCCAATCCTCAATCCGTGACTGCAGGACAGAAGCTACGCTTAACGTACGGCCAAAAGCTGCAGCGAATCACTAGAGGGAGGTCGTGCTGCGATGTTTATGTTCGCTTGATGTCGTAACTGAGAAAAGGTATCGAGACGCATTTGCTCTGTTCCGCATAATTAAGCATGATTGGAGTGGTGCTCAAACATAAAGGAGCTGTGTCACGGTCACGACACTGACGCGGAAATTATCCAAATTTTAACATTAGGAACAGCCAAAAAATTAAGTTAAGCATGTAAGAATAATTTCCGGAGTAGTCAAAGGATAAAAATTGGTATCGATTTGACTGATATCGATTGTGTCGATCAGTCAGTAGATATCGATGACACACTCATTTCGTTCATCGATTTCTCTTGATTTTTAACGATTTCATCGATCTATATCGGAAGATACATCTGTTCATCTGCTCATCAAAAAATGAAAACTAAATTCATGCAAACAGTAAATTTATTGACACTTGGCTCCGAGGCTTGGGGAATTGAAAACAAAAGAAGTGTATATTGCTAAGCCTCAATATGATTTCTTTTGTTTTATTCCCCCAAGTCTTGGTGCCAAGTCTGAATTTTAATACATGGAAATTGACCACTCCAGAAAATACCATTACATACCATAATGCTTTTTGTTTGTCACCCCAAAATTTTGCATAAGCATTGTCTTCAGTTTCTCTCGGGAGTTAAAATGGCCCCAAGAGAAACTGAAAACGACGCTTATGCAAAATGTTGAGTGACAAACAAAGAGCATTATGGTATGTTATGGTCTTTTCTGGAGTGGTCAATTGGGCTATTGAGTTGCAATTGAGAGTCGACGGATCAAAAAATATCAGTTTTTAAGAAAAATGTTAAATCTTGCATCCCGGAGTAGTCAATAGATGAAAATCGGTATCGATAAAAATCGTTAGCAAAGAAGTGATTTTCATAGATTGAAAACGGAAAACGGTGAGAATCTATCTTAGGAAGCTGTTAGGAAATCTTTATCTAGAGTTGTTTTTCTCGTGATTACTTACCTGCAAGAACTGGATGTATTTAAACCGAACCGTTTTTATTATTATCTACAAAATAAAGGGTTTTGGAGAGAAACTTGCGTAATAGTTTCCACATTTCTCATTTTAATATTTGTTGATCAGAATTCCTCTTGGATATGTTTTCTCATCTAACTTACGGTATGCCAAAAAACAACATGGCGTACCTCGGTTATAAATCGTTAAAATCATGAAAAACGGTAATATCGATTTGACACGGCAATTTAGTTTATCTATTTTTACCGATTTCCGTTATCAATCGATAAAAATCACTTGATTGCTATCGATTTTTATCGATACCGATTTTATTGATTGACTACTCCGGGACAAATAACACAGATGAAATACAAAAGAAAGGAAGCACAGATGGGAAACCCTGAAAAAGATTCCAGAGGATTGCACGTGTAGTTACTGAAAACTTCCTAAGATGTTAAAAGTTCATTTTTGTTGTTTGTAATGTTTGATAATAATGTTTGGAAGACATATTTGTTTGACACGAAGCTTCGTATTTGACATTTACAAGTATTTCTGAAGTCTCCATAGCGAATTTACTCCTTTTTACAGTTACTGGTGAAAAGGAGGCTGGACCTTGTTTTGATACAAACCTTCCTTCTTTATTATGTAAATCATGTTTTTCTTATGCTAACTTGTATAATTTGACCACTCCAGAAAATACTATAACATACCATAATACTGTTTGTTGGTCACTCCGAAATTTTGTATAAGCATTATCTTCAGTTTCTCTTGGGGCCATTTTAACTCCCAAGAGAAACTGAAGACAATGCCTATGCAAAATTTTGGCGTGACCAACAAACAGTATTATTGTATGTTATGGTGTTTTCTGGAGTGGTCAATTTTTTAAGCAAAATTTCCATTAGGAAAGGAAAGAAATTGCATCAAAACAACGTTAAGCCCACAACTGTAAAATGGCCTTATATAATTGTTGTAGTTAATTTTCTATCTCAGGTAATTTTTATTTTTCCTTTGTTTCAACTTCATTGGCAGACATTACCATGCCCAAAAACAAAATAAAAATAAAAAATACCTGAGATAAAAAATTAACTACAATATAAACAAGGTGAACAGATTAAACGTGACACAGCCCCTTTGATTATTAAGCTAAGGGACGTTTAAGATAAAATTTGATACATTAAGGTTCTTTTATTCATCGCTTAAAAGTGTAAACGCAAGCTCAACGTGAACTCAATAAAATAAACTTTTTAAATATATTTTCCATTTTTAATGCTTTCGTTTCTGGGGTCAAAGTCCCAATCAACACCACGGTAAAAGCCTGAAGTTACTGCTTGCGGTGGTGGGGTGGGGGCATAGCGTAAGCATCTTCTCGAAGCACTTACCTTATTTGAGAAACCACTAGGTTTACTGAGTGGCCCATATTAATTTGAGGCTGATCACGAATTACCGGACATTTCCTGTTCCGTGCATCAGCTAAAAGTCTTATTCATTGCACTCGGCTAATCCAGTTATTGTTGTCACTTGGCAATTGTATTTTGAATAATAACAGAATAATATTCTGTGTGTCTTTTGAATTTTAATTTAAGTAATTTTTAAGTAGTTTTTCTGAAAGGAAAGGTGCATTGAAAGCAGAAACCTCCCATAAAGCACTGTTTGGTTTTCACCTTTTTTGCTGGCCTTTGTTATCCTTGCCCTTAATTCCCCACTTTTTGCCTACACTAGCATTGACATCCATTATTATAACCACAGGTAACCCAGGCTCTGTGATAGTACCACAGTACGGTTCCAGTAAAATTACAGTGTTTGTATGGGGTAAAAATATCATCCTAAAATTTCTAGGAAATACTAAATAAAGATCAATGAAACTTACTCTGCAGTTAATTGTTGTTGTCCTTATTGCTCCAACGAAGTTTCGTGATAATTTGCAGTAATTTGTTCAAATTCACTCTATCTACAATAATTGAACAAATTACTGCAAATTATCACGAAACTTCGTTGGAGCAATAAGGACAACAACAATTAACTGCAGAGTAAGTTTCATTGATCTTTATTTAGTATTTCCTAGAAATTTTAGGATGATATTTTTACCCCATACAAACACTGTAATTTCACTGGAACTGTACTGTGGTACTATCACAGAGCCTGGGTTACCTGTGTTATAACCAGACCCAACTGACAAAGGTTAATAATGTAAATCATTATGATACTCCCAGCATTCAACAAAAAGTACAAGCTTTTGAGTAGATGTTCAAGTCAGGTGAGTTTTGAAATCTTGCGAGAATCAGTACGTACTCTCTCATTGGCTTTATCAACAGAATCTGATAGCAGGTCCAATTGTCGAAGCTGCCTGTTCTGTTCATCCTGTATTCCCAGTGCGAGACTTCTCATACCCTGCAGAACCTGCCCCATCTCAGCTGCTTCAGCATCTCTTACTGCCTTGGAATTCTTTGCTGTACTGCTGTTAAACTGAAAGTCTCCTCGATCAGCGCTTGCATCATCGATATTATCTGTAATGAACGACAGGATTATATTTGGTTAAAGTACTATTCAAGCCAAAAGAGCTGGACCTTGTTTGTACTATTATTATTATTATTGTCACTCCTTTCTTTCTGAACTGGATATTAGTTTGTTACAAGGTCACCTGGTTAGGGCAGGGGGGGGGGGGGAGGACAGGGAGGTCCAAGACTCCTTTCTCAGCTACCTGAACACATCAGTGGGGAAAGAGTTAACACGAAGCAAAGCCCTAGCAAAAGTTAGTTGAACCGTATTGTTTTCAGCTACCCAAAATGTTGATTACCAGCACAATGCTGGGAAGCTTTCACAGTTCTGGCGTGCAAAAAAGATAAAACACTTTCACTTCTTCCCTTCTTTCCCTAGGCATTTGAAAGGCTTTACTTTATTGGGCAGTTTTTGCCAAAATAGCCTAAAGGATATTTTGGTGGAAATGGGGGAGGAGAAGAGATAAAGGAAGGAGTGACACAAAATAGGCTTGATTACCAGCAACTGGTTTGGGAAATGAACATGAGCTGTCTGAGGTACTTCCTTTCTTCTCAGGGAGGAGCGAACCTGGACTCCAGAAAGCAGCAGAAATCAAGCCTGTCTCCCCTTTTGCTTCTCAACAGTCTCCATTCCCCCGAAAACACCAGATAATCAGGTTATTGGAAAAAAGAAACATTCCATTACTTAATTTGCTAATGAGTGAAACAATATAACTGCAGTTCTACCCCCTTGAAGGGGGAGGAGGGGAGTGGGGGGTATTTTACAAAGTTTTATATTGGGAGGCTCTGCCCTGAGGTGCAACCCCTTAACCTTTTATATACAGCTTTGGCAAAAAAGGTACTCCTTTCAAATACCTTCTACTGACCAATGCTAGCCCTTTACAAATCTAGTTTAGAACTTTGCATTTGCTGAATTCGTTGCCTTGCACACATAAAAGCTAAACTGTGCAAGGCCAACAAATGTCTACACGTGCTGAGAGTATGTAGAAAAGAGCGCTATAGCCAGACAGAAATTGATTATCTCTTCTATAGTATTGTTTTCCCTAACATAACCTATGGACTATCTGTTTATGGTGCCTCCATTATGGAAATTAATGTTCTTCAGCAATTTTTAGACAGACACTATAAGTTACGCTTTATATCTACACAGTTAAATCTTAGATCATTACCACAAAAACAAGATAACGCGATTTTTCAAAAAGCTAAACAGCATGATGACCACCCTTTGAAGGTGTGCTTACCACAAGAAAAGAATTAAGAATCTAACCTACAATCTTAGACGTAAAAGCTTCCAAAGGCCCAAGATAAACACCGAACGTTATAAGAACACATTTGTAAATAGATTAATTTTTACATACAATCTTTTATGATATTTTATGTCAGACATGTGTACCGTAACTATTTTTTTGCATTTTTTAATCTTTTTATTCTATTGTAATTTAGCTGAACTGTTCATCTTTTTATCCTGTAACATTGGATATGTATTTTCATCTAATGAGCAATAAAGACATTTATTATTATCATTTACCCTTTTTAATTGTTATACTTGCATTATCTTTAAAATATGAATAAAAAGCAAAACCAAAGCATTTTCCTCGACTTTTCTAACCAATAAAATGCATCTTTTAGCCCTTTTGGGCCTTTTTTTTACGGACCAAAATGACAGATGTCTCTACCTATTGAAATACTTCAGCTAGCGAGATCTCTACCCTTTTATACTCCTGAAGTTTGAAAAAAGGTACTCCTTTTGGGTGGAGCTTCCCCATATCAGCCATTCTAGGTGTACCCTTCCACGAATTCCACCCACCTTGCAAATCAAGTCCATCTAACTTCTCCTCAGCATCTTCTTCAAATTCACCTGGTGGATCCTCATAGTTTACCTTCCCAGGCAACATAACCTCAAGTGTTTGAAGAATGTGCACTAACCGTGCTGCTATGAGATGCACAGACTGTCCAGTCTGACCAATCCTAAGCTGCAATATGGTCATCTCCCATGGTGTGTGAACACTGATTTCAGTGATTTCCCTCAGAGTAAAACTGATATCAAAATTTCTTTCCGCAGTTAAAATATCCACTGATTCATTTGATAGAACTAAACTACCGGGTAAGTGCTTTTCTTTCTGTGTCCTGGCATAAACAATGGGGAATTCAGACTTCTTTACCATTGCATTGTTTTCTGGAACATCAATGTGCACATGTGGAGTTTCAACGTTCCATTTGTTTAACCAGGAATCTAGATTGTAAATTAAAGTCTCTGCCACGCTCAGGTCATTGTGAATCTTGTTTGTGTTGGAACAAGCTGCGTCAATTTGCTGCCCCTGTTTGTGCACAATCTTCCCAACCGAAGTTAGTGTACTCTGTGCATCGTATAGGATATTGAGGAGTTTTGAGTTAGGTGGTTCCTCACCATCAGAGCTGAAAAATTAAATGAAAGAGCATTTTTGTGGTAAAACTTCCCATACAAAAGTATTGATTACGTCATGAAATCGATTGGTATTTTGTGTCATGTACATGTAGAGGTTGGAATATTTCTACGCACCTCGCAAATAACCTTTCCTTCCAAAAATGTTCGATTGTATTAAAAACATATCCACGATCAGAAAACGACGAGAACCAATATTTATCAGTGTTAACACGGACTGATATAGCCGCGTAAAATATGGATGTAGTTTCTTTTTTTAGCTCGAAGAAATCGTCATAGTATATTCGAAAATCGACGCAATTTCTTCCCTCTTTTTCTTCCACAAAGCGAATACAACGAGTGTAGATTACCAAACGGCCATAGATCCATGTTTTGGTCTTATTACAATAATAAGATGCCTTCCAAACGCCAATTTTACCCATCTTCGGAGACAAATTGCAAAGAACCGAAAAACCAAAACAACCAAAAGTGCAAGCAAATATTTTGTACAGCGGTTTTTAAACCTTCGTATCGTCTAGAAATTCCGACAATTTGTCGAACATTGACGAAGACTCGTACATGTCACTGATTTGAACGGCAGTTTTGTGTAATTAGTGTTCCTTTCCTTTGTTTTGCATCCGTTTTTGATATGGCAGATGGAAATTCATATAGTGGAGATGAATATTCTGAGGAGGATGAAGAGGGAGAAGAATTGGATCCTCGTGTTCAGGTGAAATATAAACTGAAAGATTTACGGGGGTATTGTAAGCTATTTTAAGTCTAATCTTCGCTGACTCAGTGACAAGCTTGATAAATTTCAGCTTAACTTTTTTTAACCCAGGACGAACTTGAAAAACTCAACGTCGCTGCGGAATCTGTCAACCATTTAGAAGCTGAACTTGATGTGAGTATGGAATGTCTGCTTCGTTTGTACCGATCTTTTTGTCGTCACGCAACGCTCCCAAGCTCATCTTTGTCATTTATATCTTCTCCATTAGATTAGAGAGTTTGGTTAGCGCTAGAAAAGGCCAAATTAGTTTACAAAAGTGTAGTATTTTGAATCCCTGAATCCTTGCATGTTACAGTGTTGCTTAGCTCAGACCGATTAGTGTTGATTTTCAATCAACAATGTATTTGACTCACCGTATTATTCGAATAAGCGCCCAACCTCGAGTTAGCACCCGCCTCGAGTAAGCGCCCATCCTAACGGTAGAAAAAGTTAATAAGTGCCCAGCCTCGAATAAGCGCCCACCCCCAGGGGCATGAAGTTGAAAAAACCTCCCCCCCCTCTCACTCAAACTCAAATAACTTTGTTATTTCCTATTTATTGTGCCCATGTTAAAAAACGATTTAAAGCTGTGTGTTAACCATCAGTTTATTGCTCCATCGCTCTATAATCAGATAACCCAGCTGATCTTTTTCAGTTTTTGGCGTATCACTGACAGATCCCCCTAGAGAGGGGCGGAAACGCCCCCCCACCCCCATCTGTCTGTCTGTGTGTCTCTAACAGCTCTCTTAACATTCCCTGAGACTCTGAAATTGGCATTAAGTGAGTTGTGAGTTTGTGGTTGAACATAATCAGACTTAAAAAAACCTCTTAATGTGATGAGCACAAAGGAATGTATCCTTATTATATTGGCAACAATATTATTAATTTTTAAACCAATGATAATATTACTAGCATCCAATATATGCAATACTTTTGGTTGAGGAATATTGATATGGATTTGAAAATCTAGTTTTTGGACTTTCCAATCAAACAAAATTGAGAAATAAGTTTTTTGCTTGAAATCTGTTTGGAAGAATTTAAAAAGTCAGCTCCTGAGAATACTCAGATAAGAACAATGTACCTATAGGGACTGTTAGGTCTGGAAAATCCACGAAATATCCTCAGTCCAGAAGTGTACCTATAGCAGCTGGCTCTTACATGTAGCTACGTCCCGGTCAACCAGCCTTCTTCTTTCTTTTCTTTGCTTCCTTTCTTTTAAGTAAATTCTTAATATTGATTTTCTTCTTATTCAATGTTTTGTAGGAGGCCAGAGCGGTCTTCCGGCAAACCATGACAGCTGCCACTTATCATTTAAATACTCAGACAAAAAAGCTTGGCAATAAGAACATTGAAAAAGCTCGACCTTTTTATGATGCTTTGAGAGAGCTGCGTAAGGTAGGGAGGTCAGAGTTCATTACATGATTGTATAGGGAAGGTCAGTCTCAATTGGCCGAAATAAAAAATTGAACCCAGAAGGACAAGCAATTTACAAGGATATCTCTTTTTTTCCCTAGAGAGACCTTAACATTCAGTTAAAAAAAGAAAACATTAGAGGCTTGTATCAGATCAACTACAATCAAGAAATGTTGTATGTTATTTCCAAAAAGCACCCAGAAAAGCGGGATAAAAGTTTCCTGTCTTTTCTTTAGCAAAAACAACAAAGAGTGTGTCTGTCTGAAGTCTTGATTTAAAACAAAAATAGTTTAATTGTTGCAGATATCCTTCTCAGGAGGGATTTTAAGCTGAACATTTCTGTCTTTGGCACATACAATGTATGTATTGTACATTGTAATCTTTCGACTCGGTACTGCAACATTTAATAATAAATTATTCCATTTGCGCACGTTGGATATGAGTTGGCTATAAGTATCTCATATCCAACAAGCACGAATAAAGTAAATTTTTTGGTAATTTTTTTTTAGACTCTTGAAAACATCTGGTTACTACAACTGAATTTTGGAAATTTCATTTTAAATGTTACGAAACGACCGGATATTAATGTGACTTGCAGTAAACCAAGGGAAAATCACATGACATGTGTGCCATGTGCGAATGAAAAAGTTGAAAGAAAAATCTGGAAGGGACGGACACTGTGCTGAAATTATTCCCGACAAGTACTGTTTTCGCTTTCCTTTGCTGTGACTGTGGAATTTGACACTGGATAGGTCTACCTGATTGCTCTTCAGTTTCGTTTTAGACTTCCTCCACTGAATCGGAGCTGCACAAAGACCCAGCTTCATTAATCAATTTGTTGTTGTTGTTGTTCAATTGAAAGCTGCTCATTGTAGGATTCACTTGAGGCCCGTTATGGACCATTATAGACTTGCGAAAGTGTTAAGAGATGTAAAAGCTCTTCAAACATGCAAAAAATCTGCTAATGGTTTTGAAAACTTACTCCTACAAGGACTTGCAAGCCATTCTGAAAACGTTTAATGTAAACTTTGTTAATCAGCTCAACATTATGGAAGAATTAAGCTTATAATTTCTTTAAATTTGTAAGGAAACTTCGAAGTACCATGAAGTAATTTCAAACCAAAGTCTGTGGCTTTTTTGTTGCTGCCGGTATGGCATTTTCTTGTTTTTTCTGTTGTTTTATCCGTAGAAAGCTTGTGAAATCTACTTTTTTTTACCGCTTTGTCCGAGAGAAATTTTGTTGTTTTTCATATAAGGTCAAACTAAAGTATTATGAGCTGATAACTGAGATTGAGTGACCGATCAGAATGCTAGAAATGCATTATCCGAGGTTGAAAATTTAATAATTCGTATTAATACACTGTGTACATGTCCCTTGTCATTGGCAGGCTCATTATAAGTTACAACAGGCAACCCTTCAGTATGAAAAAGCAAATAGTAGACACATATATGCTAGGCAACGAGTACAAGAAGCAGAAAATAGAGTGTTTTCAAGCGGGGAGAAGAGAGCATTTGATACAGCACTTCAGGAAATGCTTAATCAGGCAACAATCGAGGTAAGTTCTAAGAATTTTGATTTTTAACTATGCAGTGAAATATCATGAGAATAATAATTTTATATTTTTGTAATTTTTTCGAGTTGTTTACGTAAGTCAACATCAAAATGGAAGGGGTACATTGTACCTGGAAAAATCCCTTAAAAGTTTTCTGATAAACTGCTAACATCTCCTTCCTGTTTGACTTGGTATGCTTGTAATGTAAAGGGAGAATTTGGTATCATTAGAGTGGAGGGGGGGGGGAGGGGGCCTGCATGTAATCCACTTACCCCTTGAGTTAGCGAAGACACTTTTTCCTGAATGATGTGACCATCTTGTCACATTTTCTAAAAGGTTAAGGATATGTAAATATGATAATGAGCAAGGTTTTTCTTGTTCTTCTGCAATATTGAACTGCTGGTCAGATGGGCTTGGGTTGCTTGGTGTGCTGAACTCCATGCCCCGGTTGTTCTAAAGTTGGGTAGCACTATCCACTGGATAAAATACAATCCAGCAGAATGGGGAAACCAATTATTACACTATCTGATTAATAGAGATTTATCCTGTGGATAGCGCTATCTACCTTTGTGAATGACAACTAGGGCCAGATCGAGAGGTCTGAGTTTTTGCCCTTACTCGGGTCATAATGACTTGTTCTTGAGCAAGAAAATATACTCTCAGTCAGTGGCTCTCTCCACCCAGTCCCTCATTGTTCAAAAGGACTGGGTAGTGCTTTCCACCAGATAAAAATCTATCCACTGGATAATGCTCAGCCTGACATTTTGTGACGCCACCACTGGTTTCCCTGCAAAATGATGTCTGAGAAATGAGCCTAGAAATTCCATATGGATGGTCTGTCGTTACCCAGATCAGGGCAGTGCCTCTCATCAGTTGAAGCAAACGACCAATCAGAAGCACTACTCAGATCTGGGAAGTGATACTTCATCAGTATGGAATTTCTGTGGTCCATTCTCAGACGTCATTTTGTAGGGAAACCAGTGGTGGCATCTTGAACTGTCAGCTGTTTTCTCAGGCCAGATAATGAGGGTCTCCATTAGGTTTTTTGGGATGCGGGAGTTTCATAATTTGAATCTGGGGATTTAATTAATTTGAAATTTGGAGAGATTTTTACTAGTACATAAGTTTAACAAAAGTGCCAATTCATTATAGGATGACCTAGTTAAAGGGCTTTAGAAGGTACATGCTTAAACAGAAAGTGACTTATTGGGATCGTGAAAATTATACTTTCCCAGAAGCGAGGTAGATGAGGTCTATAATTGGCCACAGAATAGACTATGATAGTGTAGGGGTACTGAGAGACCAGCGGAATCATACCCCGCAAAAATTAAGACAAGTACTCCTCCCCCGCCCTCGGATAAAATCCAGGAAAAGATGCACCCTTCTCTGCACCAACAGTGGTCATATTAATAAGGTTAGAATTTCAATGTGCACTGTAGGTTAACGAGGCAGAAAATCAGAAAAAGGAGAGTTGGTTAACTCATCAGAAAATGTACAAGTCCTACCAAGAAACTGAGAAAAAGGCAAAGGAGATGCAAAGCAAACTGAAGAAGTTTGTGGAGAAAGCTAAGTGAGTTTTTAGCATTTACCTGTAACCTTGGGCAACACACCTACCTTACTACGCTGACCAAATTACTGGAGGCCACCTAATTGAAGGAACAGTCTTCAGACGATTGTTGCTCCTACAAATGTTGCAACCGTTCATCAGTGGAATGTCTAACATTTATGCAATTCCATTAAATTTAACACGTCAGCGGTTAAAATTGCCTCGCGTGTAGTACAAGTATTGAGTTTGAATTGGTGCAGGCAAATAAGCTTCGCCACTTCGCTAAGAAGATTACTGATTTGTTCTACATGTATGTTTTTAAAGCAATCAGCTGTCATAAATTGAGACTTGCATGCCAACATTTTGTATTCACAAGGGTTATACAGTGTAAAACATTACTAATATTTTGTTATGATCTGCATTGTGCTTTGTAGACCATACTTTGTTGAGAAGGTTGGATTTGATCGCCACCTTTGGGTAAGTTTGACCATTATCAGATTACGTTTGGCATATCTATCTCGAATACAATACATGTAGGACCTTGTGTAGTTTCATAAGTTTTATTTCGTTCGATTGTTTGTTTTTTTATTAACAAGTGACTTTGCGGAATTTCTTTTGGGAATGAATTTGCAAACTCACAAATTTTCTCTTTTTTCGCATTTTGCACACCCTACAGCAATTAAAGCTGAGAGTGGATTCAATCCAGAGAGGTCTAAGTGAAGCAAAACTTATCTACTCTAACTGCTTGAGGTCGCTTGAAACAATCAGTGACGACATTCACCAGAAAAGAAAGGACAAGAAAATGTCGGCTATGATTGCTAATCTACAGGAAAGAGAAGCTGGTGTTGGGGCAGATTCTGAGGATGAGATGTCTCTTGATCAAAGCCAGCTTGATCTTGATCTGGACTGTAACGCAAGCCTTAGTGAGGTTCAAGGTATTTTGCCAGGGGACCTTCCTGAAGTACCTCATATTTTGGGAGACGGGGGCACGGAAGTGCCGTCCGGAACGGAGACGTCGTCAGGTACAAGTTCATGAATGTAACTAATCCACTAATTTTTATGTTGTGCACAGTGTTAGTTGTTATCACTTTCAGTATATGTATGTAGTGTGAAAACAGTGTTAGTTGTTATTCCTTTTACAATTTGGATATAGTGTGAAAAATCAGAATGCAAGAAAAATCTTCTGTTTATACTTGCCTCTCACGCTGACGTTCTTAGGGCTTCGTCACGCCTTCCTTGCAAAAGAACGTTCAAAGGGGAAGGAACGCCTCACGAAGCCCTAGGAACGTCTGCGTGGGAGACTCTCTGTTCACAAAATTATGCACATACTGGCACGATGCACGAAAGTGTGAAACAGCAATGAAACACTATAGCTGCTGTATGTTGGAATGGTTGTAGTCGGCTACTGTCCTTCGCAGCCTTTCTTTGTGTCATCACACAACGGTAGGAGAGTTGCGTGACGACAAAAATGACGACGACATTACGTGACGGTACGGCTACATAGAAGACTAATAGTCTACAGGATTTCTGACTTTTTGACAAACTATTTTAGTCTACAACTGGGGAAATATTGATTTAATGTGTTAATGCATAATAGGCTTTATGCTTGTTAGAACGTCTTGCTGTCACAATTGTTTTGCGAGATACATGTATGCAGTTCATTTCAGTTAGTTTACCAAAAAAGGGCGTTCATGTACATTTTTGTTTGTATAAGTTGTGTTGATGATGGTGTTTCATTTGAGTTTATAACATAGCTAGAAAATTCGCCTAATCAAATTCAATAGCGCGAGCGTGCTTCACATTCCTATTGAGCACGCTGATGACGTCAATAAACTATTCGTAATTCCTCGAGTTGTTGATGTGAGCTTAGCAATCCTGAGTCTCCTGAGTGCATCCATAACTCAGCAGTACACGGTGAAGCGTTTACCATGTGTTTTATAAGGAAATTGAAGAGGAAACGTTTGAATTTGCTAACCGATAGTAAGGAAAAGAGGTGAGTGTTGTTGTTGTAGTCATCTCCGCGAGCTGTGCGGGCTATGGCATGAGCTCATTCTTTGCAAAGTTGTTTTCTCTCAATAACAAATTTTCGGTCAATTAATAGTTTTCCGGAACCTAAATATGCATTTTACAATCATTTTAGAGAAGACTTTCTCTCAGTTTCAGGATAAAAACATAAGCTTAACTGTGAGGGAAAAAACATAGTCACGTAAACATTGACGCGTACTGCTTTGAGCGCGCCCTACAATAATAAAATTTTAAATTAACTGCCGCATGTATCGCTTTGATAATGTTTTACAACAATTAGTTCATGCTTCAGCTGTGTGTTTGTCGAGATATTGAGCACTTGGGAAGTTTGGAGAGCACTCAAGAGGCTAGAGTTGCACTCGGCTGCGCCTCATGCAACTCTTACGTCTCTTTCGTGCTCTCCAAACTTCCCGCATGCTCAATATCTCGACATACGCACGCTGACGCATGAACTAATTGTTAAATAGTGTATAAATTCCTGTTTGTCTGATTGCATTTTCAGTGTGCGGTGATGATGTTGCTGTACGGCTGAAGAATATGAGCGTGGATTCTGGATCCATAAATATAGTAGACAGACAGATCTCGGGGGCTGAAAGCTCTGATTCGGACTTTGCTTCAGGGTCTTTCAAGCGCGAGGTTTATGGCTGTGAAGAGGATGAGAATGCTGCAGGAGAGTGCAGTGGTGAAGGAATGAAGAGAAAAGAAACAGAGCAAAATGAAGTAGTGACGAATGATGGTGTGCCTTTAGGGAAGTCTGAGCCTAAATCTGTGGCTAAAGAAGTGACGAATGATGGTGTGTCTTTAGGGAAGTCTGAGCCTAAATCAGTGGATAAAGCGAGTGTAAATTCTTATGATGATTCTTTGTATTTAAGTGAGCTTGAGGCCGCTGGCTCCACCAAACAGCTTCACAAAATCAAAATGGATGATGCTGGTGATACATCTGTGGACCAAATTGATGTTGTTGTAAAAACACGTGAAGATGTTGAGCAGCATTGTGTTAATTCCTTGGAAGATTCTACATGTATATCGCAAAGTGCATCAGAGACCAGAGATAATTCTCTTGAACAACTTGAAATTGCTGTGGAAGAGTTTACTAATGCAGTAACTGTTCAGAAAAGCGATGCAGTTGATGATTTTGATGGGAAACTTGGATCTTTTGCAGGCACAGAAAGCACTCAAAAGTTAACCGGCAGTGACAATAATGCAACTGATGATGACGTCATTTCTCCTCAGAGTGGTCCTAGAGATGTTACCGAGTCCACTGAAACTGAAGCTTTAGAGAATGAGGAGTGGATTTGATGAAAGAGTGAAAGTGAGCGACGAACGCATTGTTTAAGTTCTGTGACGTCCTAACCTGCGAATACAGCTGTCTCTCCTCTCTCCTCGCCGCTAGGACGTTTCGCGGGAGAGATGTCTGCGATTCGACTACTGACGACTTAGATTTTTCCAGAATCTGATAAATGAGTACTGAGCTGATTGGTCGACTTTGTAATTTTATTCTTTTAGCTACGTGTATACCTATTGCTTACGAATGACAGACAAAAGACAAAAAGTCACAAAGATCGATTGATCAAACGCCTTGGGTCTACTAAAAAAGTCATTATTCGTGTAAGTTTTTTCTTCTTTACAAGAGGTATATGAGTTTTGCTGCTGCTCTTCTTAGACCAACTAAAATAGAGCAGGTGAAACATAAGCTCTAACAAATTTACATCTGAAACCCATGGCCATCAATTTTATGATTATATAAACATTGATTCACGTCATCAGTATGGATTTTTGGCCGCCTAGTTGTCAGGCACCTCTCCCGCGTAACGTCTGTAGCAGCGAGGAGGGAGGAGAAACGGCTGTATTCGCAGGCTAATCACGTCAATGTAGAGTCACGTGTGACTCTAAATTACAGCTGTACTCCAAAGAACCCTGTTTGAACAGTGTCTATGATAAGAAGTAGACGTTTCGTAATATATAGTGGGAGACCGCATTTGTAATTTGATCTATTACATAAAACCATAACACACGTTATGCGAAAAATTGCTGGTTTTTTAAACAACGTTTTTTTTCGCAGTAATTGTTTTGACTTGAATAGTGCAACTACTATTAGGCATCATAGGACAATAGGACCCTCGATTATTGATATCTCGGTTTTTAAAAATGTATTTGATATCTTGTTCTGTCATCTTGAATGTGATTTGTGATGTTATTAGTAGACGAAACGAGAAAACATCGTTGGAAATGAAAAGCTAGATGATTATTTTTAGGGGAATCCGTCATTTGGTAGTTATCTTTTAATTTTAAAATGTGCAATATTATAAATTTCATTGGTTGTCAGTTGGAAAAAAAGTTCTTAGCCGTCAAATTTATCCCCAAAGCCAGGATTCCTTTTGAAGTAATCGTAGTTTTATCGTCAAGCCTTTCTTATCCTGCTGACGATGCCCGAAATAAAAGCTAGAGCTCGTAATGTTCCTAATTATTTGGATTCACCTCAATTAACTGATAGTTGTTGTGATGTCGATATCACTTTTATTGAAAATTTTTACCTTTTAGGAAACGTTTACAATAAAAAATAATAATACATATTTTACAAAATATTACAAATTCAATACAAAATCCAAATTCATCTCTCTTGTTTAGGTGTGTTACCTCCAAAACGATTATGGCTTATGATGTTAGGACAAAATATGAAATTCCTTCTTTTTTAAGACTATGAAAATATCGATTTAAGATAGTCACAAATTTATATTTTCCAAAGAGGTTAACCCATAATATGAAACGAAAAGAACCATTTCTAGACTATAGAAATATCGGTTTTAGAAGTTCGACAAACTTGCATTTTTGCCAAATGGTTAGTATTTGGTGATGTTAAAGATAGCCACCAAGCCTTTTTAGACTATATAAACATCGATTTAAGATAGATTAAAAATTTCAAGTCCAACATTTTAATGAAAAACATTGAAATTACTCCATTCTTTCTTTGTAGAACGGCTAGAAAGGCTAGTTTTTTATCTTAAACGTCAACAAACACTTTTTATAAGCCAAATGTGCCTAAAAAGAAACAGTGAAGAAAGTTCAAATTTTTCACCAAAACCATGGACTAACCCCTCTTAAAAAATGCAAACTTTAAAACCGCTTTAAATCGGTATTTTAATGGTCAAGAAAGGCTAGTTTTCTACCTAGAAAGCCACCAAACAATTTTTATAGGTCAAATGTGCCTTAAAAAAGAAAAGGAACAAGCCAATTTAAAATTTTTGACCAAAAGCATGCGACTTTTTTACTGATCGATGCTATATGGTCAAAAAAAGGCGAGTTTTCTATATAGAACGTCACAAAACATTGTTTCTAGGCCAAATGTGCTTGGAAAGAAACAATGAATAAATTTATGATTTTTGACCAAAACGATGGACTAACCTCTTTGCATAACTGCAAATTTTCCGGCTTTTTTAAATCGGTGTTTTTAAAGTCAAGAACGGCTTGTTTCCTATCTAGAAAGTAACCAAATACTTTTTCTAGGCCAAATTTGCCTAAAACCAAACGATAAATCAATTTGAAATTTTTGGACTAACCCGTTTGGAAAAGCAAATTTTGATGTTTTCATGGTTAAGAAAGGCTAGTTTTTTATATTCTTTATTTTTTCTTTTTAATTTGGCCTTCTAGATAAAAAAAACTAGCCTTTCTTGACCATAAAAATACCGATTTAACGAGGTCAAAATATGTTTACTTTTTCAAAGGGGTTGGTCCATCGTTTTTGTCAAAAATTCGCCGAAATTTCTTTACTGTTTATTTTTAGGCACTTGACCTAAAAATGTGTTCGGTGACGTTTTAGATGGAAAGGTAGCCTTTCTTGACCACAAAAACATGAATTTAAAACAGTTGCAAAAATTGCTTTTTTTCAAAGGGGTTAGTCCATGGTTTTGGTAAAAAATTTGAAATTTTTTCATCGTTTCTTTTAAGGCAAATTTGGCCTAGAAAAAGTGTTTATGCTTTTCTTTATGAAAGAAAACTAGCCTTTTTTGACCATAGAAACATCGATGTCAAAAATTCGAAAACATTTGCATTTTTCCAGAGCGGTTAGTTCATAGTTTTGGTCAAAGACTTGAAATTGATTTATCGTTTCTTTTAAGCCACATTTGGCCCTAAAAAAGTGTTTGGTAAAGTTCTAGATAGAAAACTAGCCTTTCTTGACCATAAAAACACCGATTTATAAAGGTCGGAAAATTTGCATTTTTCCAAAGAGGTTAGTCCATGGTTGTGGTCAAAAGTTGTAAATTTCTTCATTGTTTCTTTCTAAGCACATTTGGCCTAGAAAAAGTGTTTTGTGACGTTCTATATAGAAAACTAGCCATTTTTGACCATAAAACATCGTTTTAAAAAAGTCGCAAAATTTGCATTTTTTCAAAGGGGTTAGTCTATGGTTTTGATGAAAAATTTGAAATTTCGTTATCGGTTCTTTTAAGGTAAATTTGGCCTAGAAAAAGTGTTAGGTGACGTTCTATATATATAAAAAAACTAGCTTTTTTTTTACCTTAAAAACACCGATTTAAAAAAGTCGCAAAATTACCCTTTTCCAAAGAGGTTAGTCCATGGTTTTGGTGAAAAATTTGAAATTTCTTTATCGGTTTTTTTCAGGCAAATTTGGCCTAGTAAAAGTGTTAGGTGACGTTCTATGTAAAAAATTAGCCTCTCTTGACCATAAAAACAAACCGATTTAAAAAAGTGGTAAAATTTCCTATTTTTAAAAAAAGTTAGTCCATAGTTTCAGTGAAACATTTCATTTGATTTCTCGTTTCTTTTTCGTCAAATTTGGCCTAGGAAAAGTGTTTGGTGACTTTCTAGAAAGAAAACTAGCTGTTCTTGATCATAAAAACACCGATTTAAAAAAGTCGGAAATTTTGCATTTTTCCAAAGGGGTTAGTCCATGGTTTTGATGAAAAATTTAAAATTTCTTTATCGTTTCTTTTAAGGGAAATTTGGCCTAGAAAAAGTGTTCTTTCTGCACCATAAAAACACCGATTTAAAAAGGTCGCAAAGTTACCTTTTTCTAAAGAGGTTAGTCCATTGTATTGGTCAAAAATTTCAAATTTGTCCAATTTAGGAACCATTTGGCCTCGAAAATATATTTGGAGACGTTCTAGATAGAAAACTAGCCTCTCTTGACCTTAAAAATACCTATTTAAAAAACTTTTCTAAAGGGGTTAGTCCAATTTCATCCTTTTTTTTGTAAATTTGGCCTAGGAAAGGTGTTTTGTGACGTTCTAGATAGAAAGCTAGCCTTGTTTGACCCTAAAAACATTGATTAAAAAAAAACCGAAATTGTGTTTTTTCAAAGGGATTAGACAATGGTTTGTTCAAACAGTTGAAATTTGTTTATTGTCTCTCTTAAGGGAAATTTGGCCTAGAAAAGGTGTTTGGCTGCTTTCTAGATAGAAAACTTGTCTTTCTTGACCATAAAAACTTGGATATAGAAAAGTCACCAAATTTGCAGGGGTTAATCCATGGTTTTGGTAAAAAAATTTGGAATTTCGTCTTCTCTTTTTTGCAAATAAATTATTCTTTAAAAGAGAGTTTGGTGACATTGTAAATAGAAAACTAGCCTTTGTTGACTATAAAAACACTGATTTAAAAAAGTTGCAAAATTTGCATTTTTGCAATGGGGTTAGTCCATTGTTTTTGGCAAAACTTGGAAATTTCTTTATTGTGTTTTTGTAAGCACATTTGGCCTAGAAAAAGAGTTTTGTGGCGTTCTAGGTAAAAAAAAACTAGCCTTTCTTGACCCTAAAAACACCGATTTAAAAAAGTGTCAAAATTTACATTTTTCCAAAGGGGTTAGTCCATGGTTTTGATGAAAAGTTTGAAATTTCTTTTAAGGCAAATTTTGCCTAGAAAAAGTGATAGAAAACTACCCTGTCTTGACCATACAAAAAACCGATTTAAAAAAGTCGTAAATTTTCCATTTTTTCAAAGACGTTAGTCCATGATTTCGGTCAAAAATTTAAAGTTTCTTCATCGTTTCCTTTTTGGTAAATTTGGATTATTAAAAGTGTTTGGTGACGTTCTAGAAAGAGACCTAGCCTTTCTTGACAACAAAAAAAACCGAATGAAGAAAGTCGCAAATTTTCCATGTTTCCAAAGAGGTTAGTTCATGGTTTTAATCCAAGATTTCATATTTCTTTATTTGTTCAATTTAGGCACATTTGGCCTCGAAAACGTTTTTGTTGACGTTCCAGATAGAAAACTAGTCTATTTTGACCATAAAAACACCTATTTAAAAAAGTTACAAAATTTGCATTTTTCCAAAGGGGTTAGTCCATGGTTTTGATGAAAAATTTGAAATTTCTTTATCGTTTCTTTTAAGGGAAATTTGGCCTAGAAAAAGTGTTTGGTAACGCTCTATATAAAAAACTAGCCTTTCTTGACCATAAAAACACCGACTTAAAAGAGTCGCAAAGTTACCGTTTTTTCCAAAGAGGTTATGGTTATGGTTTACGGTATTGGTAAAAAATTTCAAATTTCTTTATTTGTCCAATTTAGGAACATTCGGCCTCGAAAAAATATTTGGAGACGTTCTAGATAGAAAACTAGCCTCTCTTGACCATAAAATCACCTATTCAAAAAAGTTACAAAATTTGCATTTTTCCACAGGGGTTAGTCCAATTTCATCCTTTTCTTGTAAATTTGGCCTAGAAGAGGTGTTTTTTGACGTTCTAGCCTTTTTTGACCCTAAAAACATTGATTAAAAACAAAAAAACGAAATTGTGTTTTTGCAAAGGGGTTAAGCATAGTTTGGTCAAAAATTTGAAATTTGTTTATTTTCTCTCTTTAGGGACATTTGGCCTAGAAAAGCTGTTTGGTTGCTTTCTAGATAGAAAAATTGTCTTTCTTGACCATAAAGACTTGGATATAAATAAGTCACAAAATTTGCATTTTTTCAAAGGTTTTGGTCGAAATTTGGAATTTCGTCTTTTTTTTTTTTAAGTAAATTATTCTTTGAAAAAGTGTTTGGTGACATTCTATATAGAAAACTAGCCTTTCTTCACTATAAAAACACTGATTTAAAAAAGTTGCCAAATTTGCATGTTTGCAAAGGGGTTAGTCCATGGTTTTTGCCAAAACTTTGAAAATTTCTTCATTGTGTTTTTGTAGGCACATTTGGCCTAGAAAAAATGTTTTGTGGCGTTCTAGGTTAAAAAACTAGCCTTTCTTGACCATAAAAAGACCTTTTTTAAAAAGTTGTAAAATTTGCATTTTTGCAATGGGGTTAGTCCATTGTTTTTGTCAAAACTTGGAAATTTCTTTATTGTGTTTTTGTAGGCACATTTGGCCTAGAAAAAGAGTTTTGTGGCGTTCCAGGTAAAAAAAAACTAGCATTTCTTGACTCTTAAAACACCGATTTAAAAAAGTGTCAAAATTTGCATTTTTCCAAAGAAGTTAGTCCATGGTTTTGATGAAAAGTTTG